ATACATACATACATACATACATACATACATACATACATACATACATACATACATACATACATACATACATACATACATACATACATACATACATACATACATAATTGGGGGATATGATGCTGATATGCTATAAGAAAGCAGCAACCACTTTCAACAGAGCTTTGCAAATTTCATTTTTTTTGGATGCCAATTTCAGGATTCCACAACAAGCTTCAAGATTCTGGTAGCTTTCATCCAAAAATAGAAACTTTAAATGTAGAGCTATGTGCAGATAGCTTTTTGAAATCTTCTGCATGATTCGTAAGTAAAGAAAGCATGGGCAAAAGGATTCACCATTCTTCAGGGCCGTAACTCCTTCTCTTTCTTCATGTCAGATGTTGAATGCTATGAAACCAATACAAACAAGGGTTCACAAATAGCATTCACTAGCTCTTCTTATCCTTGATGTATAGAGTTGAATAAGCAGGACTTTTAAGGTTGAGCAAGACCATGGGGATGAGTCAGCCACCCTTCTTCTGTATCTGGACTTCGGGAGAAAGGTCCAGGCTTATCCAGTCAGTCACACTGAGCATTAGAAACCTTGACCACCCCTACCCATTTGGTTCTGAAGGCCCTCAAGCTCAACACAACCATGGTCAAGACTCTCCACAGTCTGGATTTTTGGAGTCAGGTTGACTGTGAGAATGAGCTGAGGTTAGCCAGAGACACTAAAAGCAACAAAAAAGTGCCTGGATTTTTGGAGTCAGGTTGACTGTGAGCATGAGCTGAGGTTAGCCAGAGACACTGAAAGCAACAAAAAAAGTGCAGTGCAGGTGGAGGGAACGAGATTGCAGCTGGAGATTGATAAACAAATACTCAATATTCACCTTATTACCTTGAATGAGTTCAAAACTCCAGGGCTGAATAAACTGCATCCAAGAGTATTGAAGGAGCTGGCCAAAGAGCTCTCAGAACCACTGTCCATTATTTTCTTAAAATCATGGGAAATAGGGTGAGGTGCCAGATGACTGGAAGAGGACTAAGTCTGTCCCTATCTACAAAAAGGGCAAAAAGGAGGAACCTGAGAACTACGGACTAGTCAGTCTGACATCAGCCCCAGGGGAAATTCTGAAACAGATTATAAAGCGATCACTTTTTGATTGGGTAACTTCCCTGATAGACAGAGGGAATGATGTACGTATCATATATGCTTCAGCAAAGCTTTTGACAATGTGTCCCATGTACCTCCCTGATAGACAGAGGGAATGATGTACGCATTGTATATGCTTCAGCAAAGCTTTTGACAAAGTGCCCCATGATATTTTGATTAGCAAGTTAACTAGATGTGGGCTGAATAGAATAACTGTCAGATGGATACACAGTTGGCTACAGAATCATAGAGGGGGATGATTAATGGTTCCTCAAACTAGGAGGAAGTAACAAGTGGGGTACAGCAATGAAACCAATTACTTGAAGAGGTGGTGAGCGCTCGAACACTGGAGGTATTTGGTTCCTCAAACTAGGAGGAAGTAACAAGTAGGGTGCAGCAATGAAACCAATTACTTCAAGAGGTGCTGAGTGCTCGAACACTGGAGGTATTTAAGAGGAACTTAGACAACCACCTGGCAGATATCTTTTGATTTGTATTCCTGTACTGAGTGGCGGTAATTTAGACAACCACCTGGCAGATATCTTTCGATTTGTATTCCTGTACTGAGTGGCAGTTTGGACTCAATAGTATTAGGGCCCCTTCCAACTTCATGATTCTATGGTCCTAAACATTTTGAGTGGATATGAAAGGCACACAAAACTTGTCCAGGTCTGAATATAAATCTAGAGGGCTGAATTGCTCATATTATTAAGCTGAGGTAAGGAAAACTTTTGGGAACCACAAAGGGGATGCTATGGCCTTGTTGGACTGTGAATTCTGAAGCTATAGTCCAAAAAGATATAACATATCCAAGTTTTGTTTAATGGTTTCTTTTCTGTATTTTCTGAACAGTTTAAATGGACAAGTAAGCTTCTGTGGGTGAACTTCTCTCTCATCTAGCTACAGCATGTTGTAAAAGATAGCTTCCCCCCCCCCCACGGGCTAAAATGATGTATTGACGTTGAAAGGCTTTTGAAAAGCCACAGTGGCATCTGAGTAATGGATTCCCAACTTTTCCAGCTGTCAAACTAAATGGTGTAAAAAAGATCAGACCAACAGAGAACTGGGATGGATTCCCAAATAAGTCCTTAATGGATGTTTTTAATAAAATTGTGCAATAGTCTTCTCATTCTTCACTATTTCTTCATGAACAAGTTCATGTTGAACTGAATGCCTTTGTAAGCATTCCAAGACATTTTGCCACCCTCCCACCAAAAACTTTTGACTACAAACCCACAAGAATGTTGAGCTTGTCCCAGCTGGTTTGAAGATGTCCTGTCTTTGGAAGAGACATTTGTGAGGAAAGAATTCTGGCAGAGTTTTAGTCTGATGTTTGGTAAGGCCTCCCTACCAGATTCACAGATCTGGTCTGTGCTGTTGGTTGAATGGCAAGGTGCCACTGTAGTCCTGTAGTGGTTAGAATGTTGGACTAAATCCATGGAGACCTGGGTTCAAAATCCCACTCAGATGTGAAGCTCATAGGCTGACTCTGGAACAGTCACACTCTTTCAGTTTGACCTATCTGACAGAATTCTTGTTTGCAGCTTTGAATTCATCAGAGGTGAAACAGGATGTACAGAATCAGGGGAAAGCAAAACAAAACACTTGCTTGGAAAAAGCTTAGCTTTTGTTAAACTCAATACATGTTGTGAATTTATTGCTGGGCACAGAAGGATCAATAGGAAGCAATGCTGACCGTACATGTAAGAATTCTGAATGGGATGTTCTTTTTTATACCCAGAAAAATAAGAGTATGTTTCTAATCCTCAGTGCATAAAAATACATTGTCATCTTTAAAATATGTGGCAGAGGTTCGGAATCAGGTCTAATCCTCAGTGCATAAAAATACATTGTCAGCTTTAAAATATGTGGCAGAGGTTCAGAATCAGGTTAAATCACAGAGGTCTCAAAGTACCCCTTACTCAACAAATGGGCCCCAAGTTCTCACACTCTTAAAGACATCAAGAACCCAGCCAGCCACAATTTGGCCACCCCCAGAGCTCAAAACATCTTTTACTTGTTGACTGTTGGTCCGGTTGTGGCCCAGCGCATTCCCCCCCCAGCACTGTAATCACAGGAACCACCGTGCTGGGAGGTCCGATGGGCTGTTAGCGTACCTGAGTTTGCAGTGGAACTCACCTCAGCCACGCTTCTTGGACTGTAACCTTAATTGGGCTGGGTCCCTTTTCCAGGGGTACCCCCACCACCACTGGGTTTTTTGCCTCCTCCTGTGCCCTTGTTCTGGCGTTGAGCCCCAGCCCTGATGCATGATGTGTTTGGGTGTTAACCCCCACATGCAGAACACTCATGCCTGAAACAGCATGGTTTCCTGGTACAAACGCCCTTGGAGTTATACTCCCAACAGAGCAGGCGCTGCCCCGCTCCAATGCAGGGATTCTGACCCGGGGAGACTTTCCTATACAGTTGCCCGCTATCAAACCTATCCCCTACATTGGGTCTGGCTGGAGTCATGTGCTGGTGCCACAGACCCAGCAGGGGCTCATCCCAATGAAGATTTGGGTGAATCACACTCCACATATGGAACAATTCATCATAATGAAGCCACACCTGCCCAGCAAAATCTACATATGCCCTATAAATCAAATCCAGGTATTGGAAAAGAGATTGTGCCTGCCATGGCTGGGCCTTGACAACCACCCCGGCATAAATCAGAAACTCAGGCAGCCAATTAGACCATGTCCTATCAGGTTTCTTCTGCTCCATCTCTCCTTCTCTTTGTCATCTTCCTTGTTAAGATCCTTTTTTTCTACAATTCTATTTAATAACTCAAATAAATCCACATATTGGTCCTTTCATATCTTTTCTTGTGTTGCCGGGGTGAGATGATTGCCCGAGGGCATTGAGAAGTCACCGTATGGCAACGCTTGTAAAGGCACTGTGTTATAACCTGTGTCAGAAACCGATGGGTAAGGCCAAACCCCCATGCCAGCCATAGCGTTAAATTGGGCTGGTACTGTAAACTGAGGGTATGGTGTACCCCATCCACTGAACTGTGTGCTGGAACATGGCCACGGAGTGTTGGGAAGCCTACCACTCTGCATGTCGTATGGTGTATAAACTGTGGGGTTAAATTGTCCACCGCTTGCCCAAGGCCAAGCGGGGATCAGTGGATAGGTGCCTGGTGTAATGGCTGACTCACCTGACAAAGTTGTCACCGTACTTGATTCCTTCCTGGCATATACCCTGTCAGGGCTGGCCTCATTCGCTTCATCTTGCTTACCTTGGATCATGGCCACTGGTTCAGGTGTTGTGGGGGTTGACAACCTTCTTCCCTTATCAGTTTGCCAAGGCCGTGGTGTCGGAGAAGGCCCATCTGCATCGCATCCCAGAGCTGCTGCTTTGCCTCGAGAATAGTAAATCTAGCCATTAGATTGTCAGCTATCACCTTAAGTTTGGCCATAGGATGGTTCTTGGCATCCCTGGCTGATCAGCGTGGCTGCACCTCACATGGCTGTGGAGTTTGCCTCACCAGCCATTCAGCCTCCAATGCAGAAATCTTTCCCTGCAGTTGCTGCTAAACAGGCCAGGATTCCTCGTCAGAAGAGGATTGAGGAGGAGACACTTGGGGAACTGGCCTTTTCTTGGCAGACTGTTTCCCCTTCTTATTACTCTGACTCTTCTGAGATGCCGTATCTAATGCTCAAAATGAAGAGAAGCACAGAATTGTCTCAGAAGTACCAACTGCCATATCAGATAGTAATTCTTACCTATGCACCCATAAAGAAGGGGGGGTAACCAACTGATGGCTCTCAGCTATGCTCCTCAATTAAGAACACAAGCCAGACTATGTGGTAATTACCAGCTAGTCAAACCACATAAGCATTATTCATTGTTCCTATTTTAATTGATTTTGTAATTGCAATGAACTAAATTCCTTGATTAAATCCCTTTAAATAACTTACCAATTCAATTAGCCCCAACTAGGAAGCAAGTCCACAATTAATTTAATTAACAATTCAGGACTCAACCCTTATTTCCTCAACTATCCTTAATCAATACCAATCTCAACTCCTTTGCTGGTGCTCTATACCCAATTAATTAAATGATTCTCCTCATCAAGGAAACATCCTAATTAATTAGTCTTATATATAAT